CAAAGTATTTTATGTCAACGAATTCTAGTCTTGAGCCTCTTGATTGGAGATTGACCGTAAACCTAGGACATTGGAGACGTTTACGCTACTTTTGTGAAAATCTTAATAAGTATAAGTCTAGAACACTTGGAATATAACTAAATGGAAATGTCTTTTATTAAGATTGTCAAGCACAGGTATAATCACTTGCTAGTTACCCCAGTAAAGATAACCGTTAGAAAGTGACTTTGTAGTATACGTGTACGCATAAGCTAGTGAACAATAAATATTGATAAATAAGTGATATTACGTTGTGTAGTTGTTAACTGGATTGTTCTATAATTTATGATCACAAGACTACGATGTACAAAATATGAGTGCGAAGATTTAGTGTTTTTCTTTGAAGGGGGAAATACGAAGTGATCTGGAATTAATTAGGGTGGCGGAAAAGTTATTCCTGCAAATAATGACAAGCTAAATTCTCCAATAAGAACTGTAATTGAACTGATAAGGTGCCACATGTTACGAACACGTAGTAATACAACAGTTATTGATTTATAGCTGTAAAGTCTGATTATGAAGTTATTAGAAACAATTATTTGCTCAAATGTTTCTTGTCTTAGAATACTCTTTGATTACTTTTGTTTCCAATAAAATAGGAATTTTTAAACATATTGGGAAAGCTTAACAACCGATAGGCGTTGGGCTTGTAGTGCCGTGCTTCGTTAATCATTCACCTCGATAATCGTTATAATACAAATCTTAACGGTGCATAAAAACCAGATGGCAAAGAGAAGCGACAGCTACAGTTTTATTAACTAATGACGCAGGCCAGAAAATTATAAGCACATGAGTAAACATCAGCGAGCAAAACAAAAATGACATGCTTTGGAGATGGCGGCTAAGCCAACTCACTTTAATCAAGCATTAATCAATATTTATAATCAAACAAGAACAAATGACAACATGTGATAAATAGGATATGAAGTGTACACACACCTACGCTCACATAAAAATGGTCAGGGTTAATAAGTGAATAATTAACAAGGTGAGAACATGACTCATGATGAACAGGTGAATTGACTTGTCCAGAAGTTAGAATAAGGCATATGGGCTTAGCATAACAACCGATACTACAGGCTATTCTCTCATAAGGTGACTACATGTTGCATTTTACGGAATGTGTCCTATGTCAGGAGTTCCCATATGTCATCAGCATGTTGTTGAAATTCAAATGATCTCATAAATTTTCTAAGTATATTCATGTCCATTGTCATAGTGTGAGTGAATTGCAACGTGAACTTCAGTGAGTCACTGAGATATCGGATGAGTTGAAGATCCAATCACATGGGTAGCTAGATGGATAAACAGGTCCAAATTGAGTGAATTTCGTTGCTAACATAGTCTTACTGTTGTATAGATTCTGTCTGTAAGATTAATTCTCATCCCTTTCTGTTGCTCCATTAGTAAATCTAAAGCTCCAGTAAATTAATGTTCAGATAGCTTATTTTTTATAAAGTTGATGTCTGACTTAGCCAATTAGATACCATTTGAAAACTTGAATTGTCGATTCAAACTCTTCACTGAATTAAAACCACACTCAATCTTTGTCAACATGCGATATTTAATGACAAATCGTTGTTGAATTTTTATGATTCTGTTGATTAATACCTTACGTTATGGTCTCATCTAAAAATGCCCTCAATTTGCTGACCCATACTTTCTTAAGCTCAACTCATTTCGTTCTGTTAATTCATACAATTTTACGGCTGTTTTCACGTAACTGAGGTCATCAAGATTCGTTTTTGTAGAAACTTGTCGCCATGTCTTTTAGTTACTTTTTCACTAAACATTTTCATAGCAATTAAAAAATAACTATTCAACCTTGGAAGAGTTTTTATTGATCCCCGGTTTCTAACCTTCACTTGTGTAAAATATAGTATGTTGATCTTTCGTGGATGATAATTAAAATTTCAAGGCTGTTTGGAGCTGAAAATAAAAACAGCGACATAAATGACTTCATGTTTTTCTGGAATGACTTTTATTCTTGTTGACAGTTTGTTGTTAATAAAATTAATGACTGTCTTAGCCAATTATATAACATTTGAATTACCATTTGAATTGTCGATTCAAACACTTCACTGAATCAAAACCACACTCAATTTTGTCAACATGTGATATTCACTGACAAATTGTTGTTGACTACTTGTTCTTGTTCTTGTTGTTTCAGTTGCTACTCATGTGTTTCTTTACAACGAAAACAATTAGGTATTGTTTTCTTCGATTGCCAATTTGTTTTTCTTTCGTTTGTTATTGTGAACTGTCGATTATTGTGAGCACCAAATACAACATAGGATTTCCTAAACATGTGAGCGAATGTGATTCACAACTTGCTAAACAGGTTCCATGTAAACAGTTGACAGTCTAAGTCTTGTGAAATTTCAAACGTTTCATTGTGATGTGTAACTTCTTCTTGTGACAATACTCTGTGTACACTTTCATTCATCATTCAACGAAGCATGGCATGAGATCAAGTAATCACGAATCTAGTTTAACTGTGAAATAATTTAGTTGATGTTTTCTGGAGGCTACTGTTTCCAGATATCTATTTGATGACCGCCAATCAGCTCACTGTCTGTGATATATGAAGTAGTTTAATAACTATTAAGTTGTGCAATCATCCGAATCTGATACTGATGAGCAAGCCGACCATACTCAAACTCAAACCAGCTACTTGGGTCAAAAGAAATCAAGAAGCTTTAATCGACTAATTGAAGTCGAAAATATGCTCACAACTTATACATAAATATATATCAATTATTACGTAACATGTTGCTAACGTAGTAATTTGTTGTAATATAGTAGCGTTGTTCAAACGCTAATCGGTAAACAACAGTTTATTTGTTGTACGAAAGTGCTAAAGTAAATGCTATCCTAACAAGTTTCACTTGAAACACAATCAATCGTTATGAACTCGTTAACTGTAAATGATGGAACTCATTCCATACAGACATGTCAGTCTTGACGCGTAAGGCTATTCATAGCTATCAGCCAAGGGATTCTCATGTAAACCGTCATCATATTCCTGATCTAGTAAATTACTTGATTTAAATTTGATTTTTTTGGTATTATAGGCTAACTAATTCAAATTAATTTCTGAAAATGTAATGCCATCGATGAAATGAAGAATTTATATAAGTTTACATCTAGGAAAGATTCTCAACTTATAAATTTATTCAATTAACAAAGTTCTACTTTCCGAAATCCTCATCAATAGACAGTGATAAATAGAATCGATCACGATCGTATTAAATATGTCAAGTTTGATGATTTAATTTTAAAGTTTTTACTATTATTTCCAGAGAAGTCATCAGTACTAACTTCAGAAATGAAAATATGAACTATTAGAATGTAACCACTAAGAGTTAATTATTTAACCTGTCAGTGAAGAATATGGTTAAGTATTTGCAGTAACTATGTTGTCACTGTCCGGATATGGATCTTGATTATTCTTTCCTCCAGCATCTTTACTGACCCTATATTGACTTAACAATTTTCCATGAAGTGATAAAATACGTTTATCGCCATATGTCGGTTGGTTTCTAAATATCATTAGAGTAATACTCTTAAAAATCATTTGATCTTCTTTGCGCCACTTTTAACTAACATACAATTCAGTTACTGAACGAATTAATATGATTATGTGAACACATAAAAATTATCACAATGTGTCATAATAAACAGTTCATAGCATGTCATTTCAGTTTTTGGATTATTATTCTACCAAACAAATTTGACAGACATTATTTGTTAATAAATGCCAACTGGCAAGAAATATAAATTTGCGTGTTCTCATCGATTGCCTTCAGTAATTTAATAAACTCAACTTCTGACATTACTCGACTAGCTTAGTGATTTGAATCAAAGGTATAATGAGTTGTTCATTAAATTACTATTTAATAATAGTTATCATAATTAGTTGGTGAATCTATGGATTAAAGCGCGTGGAACAGGTTATTCTAACATTAACAATAGGTTTATGTATAGAATAATTAATTGGTCTAGTTTTCCCTTTTAACCAAAAATTGCTTCAATCATATAATATATATATATATATATATATATTGCATATTGAATCGCTTGGTTGGATGTAAAGGATAGTTCGTTAAGTATTTTGAAGAAGAAGATAAGATTAAGATTGAGTATCCTCTTCCATAATGGGTCGAGCCCAAGTTTATCACATCTAGAATTATAAGTTAAGGTACAACCAGTACCAAGAGTACGACGTGTAAATCGTCTCTGTACTGATTCCAGCCTTAATTTATCCTTTATGCGCGCGCTACTAAGAATAAACGCGCAGTATTCAAGGAGTGGTCGAACACAAACTCTGTAAATTAAAATACGTGATTCGTTGTTATAAAGGTTCCGAGTTATGTAACCTATAAGGCGTTGAGACTTGGAAGTCTGTTTCATTATCTGTTCAGTAAACGACAAGTCGTAGGAGTACCGAAGTCTACTACTGTGTGTAACCTAGATAACCTAGATAAGATGGAGGTTGAATGATGTATCACCGAAGCATAGTCATCCACATGTTAACTTTATCGTACATTTTTTTAGAATGAAAACTTTTCACTACAATTTTTTCCTTGTATAGCATTACATAAAAATTAATAAAATAGTAACCAAAACCTCATGTCAATTTACACATGTTTTAATGTTCAGTCTTGTTTTGAACGAAATAGATTGGAAATAATTTTTAAACAAGTCATTAATATGAAGTGGCAATTGTTTGTCTTTCTAAATTTGCTGTTCTCATGTCTTACCTCATGTACGTAACATTTGTTGTTTGTACATAGTTGACTTTGATTACTAAGATACATAAAAGTGATTTCTTTTCAACCAATTAATAAACATCAAATAACAAATTGTAATTTAATCCACAAATTCATATTTAATAAATCCATATTTAAGTGTTGAAGAGTTGTAATATATAATAAATGTGTTTCTGATCGTTTGGTATAATGGAAAGTAACATAAAGATTTTGTTGACAATATTGGTGTTTGTGATGAATACAGATTATAGTGAGTTTAAAACAATGTTGATAAGTGATTATTCCATCCACTAACGTTTATATTGTGATTTATATTATACAAATGATATTTTCATAATTAAAAGCGTGAGTCAATTGAAGCTAGACAACCAGGGAAAACCTGGAAGCACTGGACGGCCGTTTCGTCCAATTGTTGGACCCCTCAGCAGTGCGCATCCACGAGATTCAAATCCAGGACCTACCAGTCGAGCGACAGAGCACTTAACCGATAGACCACTGAGTCAGCATCCATGATGTTCAATTATCAAAATACTAAATCTCCACAAACACCCAATTCTGATAATATAAATTATATGCTTTTTATTGAAAGTAACATGTCAACTGAAATGTTTGCCACGATTATAATTAAGGTTGTTTAATTTCATAGCATACATTCTTAATTTCACTGAAATTTGTAAAGAAATTTACACTACGCCATGGGGAATATAAAAACAATGTGAACAAACTTCATTTGGTATTATTTGCTTAAATCTTCTCATCGATGTGTTAGGACTGCAACTGGTCAATCTCTAATTGGCATATGTGCATACTGTGTGTATTGCCTCGATATAGCCTTAGTTCACAAGCATGATAAGCAGGTTCAAACAAACAATACTAAATGAATTTAAACTTCACCCCATCGCACAAGCAAGTGGGTATCGGGACTCAGTGGCCGAGTGGATAACGCGAAGGCGTTTGAAGTGATAGGTGCTGGGTTTGAGTCCTAGAGTGAACATCAACTCTGAGATGCAGGTACATCCAGCTGACAAGTCTCAAATATGACGAGACGCGCGTCCACTGCTAGCCACTATCCATCTCTGCCTAATATGAACAAACTATATAAATGTAGAATGTGATAGTAATTTCTTTTTCCATTGAGAATTCCATGTTGCTCAGGCATAGCAGTTTATCAGATAGTGATGAGAAGTTTGTGACCAAACAATAAGGACACAATGTTGATTTAATTAATTAATTTCATTGAATTAGATTGTAAATTAATTTTCAGTAGAAAATTTCACCTATAGAATCTTATTTAGTGAAATGGGAATTTTATTTGACTTTTATTAACCTTCTTATGATTACTTTCATCAGACTAATCAAATATATGTGATACGAAGATATTGATTGATAGCTTCAAGTGATTGGGTCTTGCATTCATTTGGGAATTCTTTCATTATCACAATTCGTTTTATCTTTAGTTTGATTTAACTATCTTCATTTACTTATTCTTTTGATTGAACAAATGAGACACTGCTTCTTACCATGTTTACAACGTCATATTCACAGAAACCTAAATAGTTGGAGATATAATTCTGCAAATAAGCGTAAATATTTCTGTTATCTGTGAAAGTTAATTAAGCTAGATACATTGTTCAGAAGCAGTAGAGTTGTAAAATGAGTCCAATGTGTCTAATATTTTATCCCTTTTTATAAATAATTTGCACAGAGAAATATATAAGTATATGTAATAAATCAAACTCTTGATATCATGAATATCACACTCATTGAAGTTGTTTTCAATCAATTTTCGGACTTATGAACCATGCATTTCTTCCTCTTGGTTAAAATTATACAGTATCTTCTTCTTTTCTAAATGAAGTCTTTGGGATATTAAAACACAGTTGTTAGAGTTTTTATTAGGTCTCATCTAAAGTCATTAATATGAATGGCGACTCATATTTTTATTTTCTTTTAGGAATTAAACTTAACTACTTATTATCAAAGAAACTAATTACTTTAAATAGCTAATTCTTCTTTATTTTATTTGCTTTCCTTCTTGACCTTTTGCTGGTATGTGTCTGTTTCTATCCAATTCATCTCATTTTAACACACATTAACAAACTCTAAAAACCGCTCATTATTGTTGTTATGACTGTAATTCATCCCCATTCATTTCAGCTTTCTCGGCCAAGTGTTATGAGTGTGCAAGGTGTCCATTTCCATTCAATCGCTCTTCTAGTTTCGTTAGCATCAGAAGTGGCTGTAAATGGTGTGTGGTAAGTGTAGAGAGTATACATAAAATCACTTGAGTTGCTATTTTACATATTAATTTAAAAAATTACTTTTAGTTCAATATAAACAATTTATTAACACTTTTAAAGACGGATTATGAAACACAACGAAAATTTAAAATCAAGTTACTTGCCAAGAGTTGAGAAAGAAAAACCTAACTTTATATTGCAAAAGTCATCTCCATGTTCTAAAATGAAAGTGAAACATTAATTTAATAAAGTAAGGTATTATTATCCCAAAGTACCACCGGACATTAATTGATGTCGTGATTTCTAGTAACAGACAGTAATAATCGAGATCTCAGTGTATTCATTTTGAATTGAAACAGAAACAACGAGCGATGAAATGTAATGAACTTAAATGAATTAACTAGTCTTTACTGGCACTGAGTCATAGGCCAATCAAATTAATGATAAAATCTAGAAATATAATTTTAGACCATCTTTAGAAACTCACAAGTAAAGTGAGTTTGCTTGTCCCAGTTACATACATACCAGGTTGATGAAAACTGTCAGTTACGAAACATTTTAATCCACAAAAAATGAATGTCAGTATATTTATATATGAATTCACACTCCGAATTTTCTTTACATGATCCCTGTATTGTTGGTGATAGTGTTGATGTCTTGATGTTGTTCAGGTTTAGTTATGCTACACTATGTTCACTAGAAGAACTGGGTAGTTTAATAAATCTTACTAACTTGGAGGATTGATTATTCGTGTACTTATCTAAAAGAATAGAAGGCAATTGTTTTTGCACGAATATAAAGATTGATGGACTGTTGTCTTTTAAAAAGTAACAATTTATATTTCAATAATTACAGGATTAATTTTTAATTTCAGTTTCGAAGTCGTGTGTTTTTCTAGTTATCGATTATTCACGTTTAGGAAACTTTAAAAAGGAGTGACATACTAAAAGTTAATCTGCCATTATTCTACTTCATATTTTTCCTACAATCTGACATGTGATTATTTCTATAGAGGATATGAATAGTAAAAATGCTCCAATACCACCTAATTAATACAATAGTTCGATTGCTCTGCTTGATAAAGACGATCTATTGATTATCCATTTACAGATCTGAAGAAGTTCCTGTTGAAACAAATGAAAATATCAAAGTTAATATTGGTTGAAGCTCTTAACGTCATCAGAAGACCTTAGCCCATCCTATAAATAAATTTATCATTCTAATGTTATAAAGCATTTGATATATGAAAGGAAGATCTTTTCATTTAGGTATACTGTTTTCTAATATCATTGTTAAAATCAGTTTGTATGTTAGTTCAGATTTTTCGCAAAATGAATATATTGCATATAATAACCACCTCCTGGTACAGTAATTGGATTTTATTTCACTACAGAACATTACTTAGGCCATGGTCGTTAGCTGTATAACCATTTAGAAAAATTCTCCAAACATAGATTAAGTTCCTAAATAGATCGTAAATCGCCAGTTTACCGATTCATACATAAACCGCAGCAAATATCGCTTGCTTAAAAAATAGACTGAATCATTTTATAACGTATTAATTCACTCATTATTCTCAATCAAAAATGAGGTGGAATGTAAGAATGTATATTACATGATTTGTATATCCTAGTAGTTTACAATTGCGAAGACCATCTACCGATGTCATTTCTCCACTGAAAAGTTCACATTTGAACTCAAGTTTCCTAAGTAATAGTTATATCATCGAATACTTATACTTTGATGAAACCGGTAGCAAAATACATATAAACGCCTAAACTTCGTAGATTTAGTCATTAATGCTTCACAACTAAGAGATAAGATAGCGTAGCTTTTTGTTGTATGCTAGAACCTTGATAAACTTAATGATTTTCGACTAATATTTAAATAAACATAACTTGGAGAAATCTACCTGAACTTCCTAAATACACACTGATTTTCTGTCAGAGAGAAGATGATATGACTGCACATAAATATGACTCAATGCTGACTATCTGAGAAGTAAAGAATACATCAAATGTGTTGCGATTAGTTATAAGCTACTAAAACAGGAATACCAACTATTTTTTTCATCCCAAGTTTACCGTACGATCAATAACAAACGAACAGGTTTGGTTAGCGCAAGTTATTTTTTCGAGATATATTTAAGTTGAAATTCATTCTTATTACGAGGTAGGCACTAAAAAACTGAAGAGTATTGGACAATCATTTCTTCCTAGTTTGTGGTTTATCAGATGTGTCCACCCAGAAATATATGCGGAGTCAAATTAATTACCTTCAATTTTCATAGTAAGCGCTCAACCAAAATTTAACGTTCATCATTTACAAATTCCTGGTAAGAAGTACACTATAAATTGGTTAGTCTGAGAGGCAATCGTCGTTTTAGACCAACTTATAATCATACATCTATGTTCATATCCATATTGAAATTTTAATACGTCATGTTAATTTATCTCGCAGTACTACTGTTTTTCAAAACACTTTTGTTTCGTTTTCTTTCCATATAATTTATTAGTCACTTTCAGTTGGCAGTCCATATTTCACAACTAAACACTGTGCAGATTGGTGTGAATCAAAAGAATTTTTTAAGGAATATAATAATTACAATTATACATGTTGTAATACAAATCTTTGTAATGTCAGTTCAAAAATCTGTACAACTTATAAAATACTGTTTTTACCTCTACTGATAATTTATTTTTATTTTAATGTTGAGAAATAAAAACACAGTTGATAATATATCTGTCGACTTTTCATCCAATCCAGATGATGTCTCATTCATCAGTTGTAGTGATATTAATAACTTTAAACAGTAAGATATTTTCACATTTCTCTTTTTTGTATATGTGGATATGCTTGTTTATCAGACACATTTAATCGTTCTATGAAGGAAATGACATGTTATGAACTGTTTACTATGATACATCGTGATAACTTTTGTGTGTTCACATAGCCATATTTGTTCATTCAGTAACTGAATTGTATGTTACTTGACAGTACTGTTTGAATGATCGATGTAAGCAAAGTTATGGTGAGAGATATTGAGAAAAATTTCCAACTAATTTTGGTGTTTTTAGTGCTATGTCATCTGAACTAGTTAGTCTAGTTGAAAACGTTTCATTGTTGTTCAAAACAATCTTGTTAGCTCCTACGTCATGTCGAGAAAATAATGTGAGTACAGCTATCATGTATTACTTTTCCGTTACAAGTAAACATGGTTTTATTTTCTCTTGCTCAATCACAATAAGTTCAGTGAAATAAGAAAAGCCACTTAAACGAATAATGCATATTTTAACTAGCAGAATTAAATCTTACTCAGAACTCTACCTTAATTAGACTGAAATACAGAAAATCAATAAAAATGTTCTCTCATTTCCATGTTATACAAAACTCCCAAAAGTCAAAAGTTCCTCAATATGCAAGCATTAGGCTAACAAGAATTGTAGCAGATAATCTGCCAGACCGAGAAATTTGTCAGAACAATCCATCAAACCTCCTAAAGAAATCAGGATTTTCGAACTCTCAACAACAAACTGGTGATATCCTTTAAAGTTAGGGATCTAATTACTTTAAGTGAAAAACAATTACAATATCAGATTTCAACTGAGATCATCAAATTATTTTGTATAAAGCACTTTATTTCAGTGTTCAGGTATGCGGAAGGTTAAAACTGACTTTGCTGAGATCCTTGATGCCTGGAATGATTAAAGGATCAGTAAAATATAGGAGCTGAAAGTCCTTGTTTTGCTAGTGATTAATCTGACAATTTAGACTCACTGTATGAACGACATTACGATCATCTCCAGAAAGGTGAGCTGGAATACGCTTAGAAGTTTCCTGACCATCTCTTCAAATACATGAAACTCACTGTAGTGACATTTGAAATGTGAGAAGTAGTTTAATCAGAGAGCGTATACTTCTTCGTATGCAGAACTCTTCACACTGAGACTCGAACCCAGTACATAGTATTTTAGATGCTAACATGCCACCCACTAAACTGATGAATCCAGATAGGCACCAAGTTTTTCAATGGGTATGATATTTAGATTATTATAGGTTAGGGTTTGAATTTCCCTGTTGTTGACATTAAACACTGCAACTAATCAGCCTCTGTTAGGATATGTTCAGAAGTTCTATACATTTGTTTGCGTGTATGGATTTTAATGTATTGACGTCTTGTTATACCAGATATATAAGGAGAAATATATGAATGAAGTGGATGATTGGTATCTGATTATATAATACCTGCCAGGAGCTCGCAAGACTTAAGATGTCTATCCACAACCATATTTATAATGACCTCAAAAGATTCACCACACACCTTGCTAACTGCTTTCAGCACTCTCTTCAGTAAAGCAAAGTTTTTTCTCAAAAGCCTGTGAAAGAATAAAGGAGAACGGTAAAGAGTTATAGGTAATATGAAGGAATTGACAAGTTGTAAGAGTAAATGGCCAGTAATCCCAAAAGTATGCAGCCTCTTTATGTAGTAAGTCAAACAGTAGACTTTTATCGATAACAGTAAAACCTGAGAAGACCAAGAGAGATCAGAGGAAAGAGTAGCACCAAGATAATTGACTTTGGACACTGCGTTTATGAAGGAGTCTCCAACGGCGCAAGCATTGTGTGATCTAAAAATAGTGTATAGGTGCTGTCCATGTCTCAGGCTAAAGTTAACAGCTTGACATTTAGATGGATTAAGTAAGAGACCATCACCAACATACCACCATTCAATATGAGAGAAAAACTCGTTAATTTCTATGGGATGTGAAGATATAGAAATTGACATACATACAGTGAGGTCGTTTGCATATTTCACAAAAGTGTTTTCTGTGGAAGGTGGCAGATCATGCAAAAAAAAGAGAAGAGGAGAGGTGAAAGAACAGCTTCTTGTGGCACACCTTCATTACACAGTAGAGACGTTGAACACAGTGTACTGTTTCCTTTCAGAACAATTGGTTAGCCAATTGGTTATCCAGCCGTCAGTGTTGACGCTGATTAACTTTTTAAGTAAGAGGTGTCAAAAGCAAAAGTATAGTTCAGAAAAGCTCAGCGAACATACTTCTAACCCTTTTCCAAGCCGAACACTATGTTGTGATGCAAAACAGAAACGGCATCTAAGGTGTTTATTGTGCATTTGTAAACAAACTGATACGGATCACTGTGTTCTTTTATTGCTAGTTGAAGTGGGAGTATCAATATTTTTTCCGTTATTCTGAGGAAAGGTGAAATTATAGCTACGGGTCTAAATTTTGCATTCTTATCACCAGATACTTTCTCAGGTATATGGATTATTTTTATCTTTCTCCACAATTTCGGTATGAGATTAGTTGAGAAGAATCTATTAAAGACATTCGTGAATGGATTACATCGAACGTCAGCACATTTTTAAAAAAGAGGTTCGGGATACTATCAGGTCCTAAACATTGGGACGAATAAAGTGACTGGAGACATTTTCGGACATCATTTTCAGTGAAACTAAGAACACAATTATTCTTCAAATCTGTGTATATAGGGAACATGACATCAGATGACTGATGTGCAAAAGACATATTTAAGTCACAAACATTCAGCTGGTTATCGCTTATAATCTGCTTGTCACCTGTTAGTTCTTTGAAGAGTTTCCACATACTTGGAGAGTTTTTACAGAATAGGAGTTTCTGAATAAACACAAAGTTTAGACTTCTAATCTCTATGTTCATTAGACCATTTAGCTTACGAACTTCAATAGTGTTTTTCTCCTTGTACATTCTTTCTATTACTCTCTGTAGTTGTTTTAGTTGTGGGGATGTGAGTCTATCAAAACTTAAAAAGTAGTTTCAGTGAGACAACAAATATCAAGACAGAATTTAAGATAACAGGTGATAACGACAGTGTTGTTTCCCAGTGAGTCATCTGTAAATCATTCCCAGTTAGTCGTACGGAACATGATTTTCAGATTTTGTATATTTTTTTCTGAGTAATTCCTATATATTACTTTTTTGGTCTGGTGTAAGGGTGTACTCTCTCCATGTTTTCCATATTACTTTAGGTAGAACACTAATTATACAGTGATCCGAGCTAGACATTGAAGCACGTTTACGTGTCACATATGTACCCACATCATTGATGAAAACGAAGTCTAAATGAGCATCCAAACGTGTAGGAAAATCTACTACATTTTGGTGACCTAGTGATGTAAGGTAGCTACAGTCATATGAATTGAAATCATCACATACAAATGAAAGTGAACCACTGAAGGCAGTAACAGTGAATTCAGTAAATTCATCAGCGAAAACAGATAGCGCAGATGGTGTGCAGTATGGAGTCACGTAGATGTTCGTAACATAAACATATTTGTGTTTATTCAGGTGTTTGGGACAGCATCTTAAAGTTAGATAGTCGATAAAATTATTTGAAAACTTCAAACAAGAAAAAGTAGATCGACACCACTAAACGTTTACAAACGAAGCTACACAGCCACCACACCTCATTTTATTGTTCGATCGATCCTGACGATAGATATTGAAACCATGCAGTGTAGTAAGCAATCGTCCTGTGAATCAGTTAACCAAGATTCTTGAATTGTGATGACACCAAAATTACGATACATGTTTTGACTTAGTAGGAGTTGAACATAGTCCACCTTGTTAATTAGTGGTCGGAAGTTAGAATTTAGCAGCTGGGGAATCGACATATGATTAATTCTCATTCTCTTTAATGTATATTGCCAACCACCATGATGTCTCTTACTGGACATTTTTGTAATTTTTGCAGCGACAGGACGCAAGTTTTTCATAAACGAGCCTGTATAGGTTATGTGATTAGTAGACATAATGGGGTATTACAACAAGATAAAAACAGACAACTTGTTGTAATATTTAGATGACAGAAACAGGTAGCCCAGATATTCAAGCAGGCCGCCGATTAGGTTAACTGTTTTTGTACAGTCAATGTGTATGTAAAATGAGAACCATCAAATGCATTACTGTAGTGTCAAAATATCCCAATTAATTTCTTTCAGAATAACGATGCATGTGAAGTAAACAGGTTGGATAGAGATAGGGTCCAATAACTTGTTAATGAAAATTTGTCAAGTGTTTGCTAGTTGAATACTATCCTTTCTGTTTAGGCTGTTCTTATAAGCTCAAATATACAACGCCTCTGCTGTCATTATTTCTTTATGTGTACCAAAACCTTTCTGAAGTATTTTGGTACTCTCGTTTGGTCCCATTTCATTTAATGATGATAAAAATGTTAAGAATGGTTTAGAAGCAGTGTTTGAAAGTGTAAGCAACATTTCGGAGTGCATCAAGCTAACCAAGGAAATAGAGTCCTATGATGATAAACTAGAGTTTCTCGATTGTTTGGTTGAAAGAATACATGGTAATAAGTTGAAAATAAATGTATCCAGGAAATCAACACACTCTGAGAGATACTTTGATTACGGTTCAGGTTATGTATATTGTACGAAAAAGACAATTACAAAAAGTTAAATTAAGAGGAAAATTATTCTCATTACAGAGAATGAAGACCAATAAATTGAACTGAATGAAATTTTGTCTACAGAAAATCCTTGTGATTAATAATCTGTAAGTCAAAAAACTCAGTACCTAATGAAGTTGAGTGAAATAGAATTTACAAGTTCACTTTACTAACCACGAAAAATGGTGCATCTAACAACGTGAATGTTAAGTAGCTGTTAAATACAACGACATACCTGGGCATATGAACTATAATCAACAATGTTTCGACTGTAAAGACCTTTGGATCTTATGCAGACGTGGTGCGAAGAAGATAAATGATTTTTAAGAGTATTACTCTAATGATATTTAGAAACCAACCGACATATGGCAATAAACGTATTTTATCACTTCATGGAAAATTGTTAAGTCAATATAGGGTCAGTAAAGATGCTGGAGGAAAGAATAATCAAGATCCATATCCGGACAGTGACAACATAGTTACTGCAAATACTTAACCATATTCTTCACTGACAGGTTAAATAATTAACTCTTAGTGGTTACATTCTAATAGTTCATATTTTCATTTCTGAAGTTAGTACTGATGGCTTCTCTGGAAATAATAGTAAAAACTTTAAAATTAAATCATCAAACTTGACA